TTCTAGAAAAATAAACAAGGTGGCCACTAATGCCCCAAGCAGCTCATCTGAGGACAGAAAGGTATTGGTTGGCTACTGTAAACTATAAAGAGGTTTTAGATATTGTGCAACTTCTGGGGGACAACCCTCTGTACAGAAACCACCTCTCTTCAACAACCGTTGTGATATTTTTTTTCTGAAAGTAAAACTTCCTAATAAATTTGACCTCTGTAGAGCAAACACCTCTCTCCAAAAACCAAAATCTTTTTCTCCTCAAAGGGTGAGGTTAAACTGTAATTCCAAAGATAGAATAACCCCTCAGGTGTGTGAATAAAATCCACATTGACTGTACATTTTATCATAAATGTAACAGACTTTTGAAAGTTTCGTATAAGTTTACATTTGTATTCCCAGGTTTGACAAGCTTTCAGCGGTCTGAGTAAGCAACTTGATTTTTGACCTTTGATGTTATACTAGTGATTAATAGTGGTCATTTACTAGTCATGACCTATCCTCACATCAGATGTCTTTTAAATTCTGATACTTGTAGTTCCAGAGAAACGATTTTTAAAGGTTTGGGTGCCAAATGTCACACATCGAGAAAAAATTGCAGCCTGACTAGGACTTGAGCCCGGGACCCGAGGAATAGGGTGTTCCCAGCTCTACCAGCTGAGCTATCTGGCCGCTAACAAAGTCACTCCCCTGAATAGTGTACAGTTCTAAACCCTGACACATATACAGAAAACATATGACCATGACTTGTTCATCTATATGTAAAACCCCATTATCATTACAACGGGTTGCTCCATGTTCAAAGAAGTATCACTCCATTTTACAAATTTACATAAAAATTGCTTAATTAAAATAAACCACTTAAAATAACAATGTGACAAATCATTATTCAAAGCAGGGCCAGACCATCACACAAATTTTGCATGAAAATTGTTTAATTTCCATTGGCAAATCAATCTATACAACAAATCTAGCATACAAATCTAGCATAAAAAATTATCAATTTTTATCACTCCCACCCCTCTTTAAAATATCTGAATGGGCTATTCTAATTTCAAATCAAAATTATTTTAAGACAAAGTCATGTTAATTTACCATTAATATACAAATATAGCAGGTTTTAATGGCTTAACAATCTTGTAAAACATCAGACTAAATTTAGAATCAGGAAAATAATTATATTCTATAAAATCATTTAATGGTAACATTGTCTCATTATTAATTCTGGAGGAGGTATCCCAAATAAGCACAGTATTCTCATAGGGAAAATAAAGCTTTAGAATCCATGCATTTTAATTGTATTATACAGATTTTCATTTACGTAAGCCTTGTGCCTTGCAGTAAAATGTTGAGCCCATTAACTTATTGCAACTGCAATTGACCTAAGCCTTTGCCATGGTATACAACTTGTTGAAACTGAAAGTGACCTAAGATTTTGCCATGGTATATTATTTGTTGGAACTGAAAGTGACCAGCATTTGCAATGGCATATAACTTGTTGGAACTAAAAGTGACCAGCCTTTGCCATGACACATTACCTGTTGGAATTGAAAGTGACCAGCCTTTGCCATGGCATATAACCTGTTGGAACTAAAAGTTACCTAAGCCTTTGCCATGGCATATATCCTGTAAGAACTAACAGTGACAAGCCTTTGCCATGGCATATAATCTGTTGGAACTAAAAGTGACCTAAGCCTTTGTCATGGCATATAACCTGTTGGAACTAAAAGTGACCTAAGCCTTAGCCATGGCATATAACTTGTTGGAGATAAAAGTTACCTAAGCCTTTGCCATGGCATATATCCTGTAAGAGCTAACAGTGACAAGCCTTTGCCATGGCATATAACCTGTTGGAACTAAAAGTGACCTAAGCCTTTGTCATGGCATATAACCTGTTGGAACTAAAAGTGACCTAAGCCTTAGCCATGGCATATAACTTGTTGGAAATAAAGGTTACCTAAGCCTTTGCCATGGCATATATCCTGTAAGAACCTAACAGTGACAAGACTTTGCCATGGCATATAACCTATTGGAACTGAATGTGACCAGCCTTTGCCATGGCATATAACCTGTATTAACCAGCCTTTGCCATGGCATATGACCTGTATTAACCAGAAGTGACCAGCCTTGCCATGGCATATAACCAGTTGGAACTGAATGTGACCAGTCTTTGACATATGGCATATAACCTGTTGGAACCGAATGTAGCCAGCTTTGCCATGGCATATAAGCTGACGGAACAGAACATGACTCTCCTTTGCCTTCAATATTGAGTCAAGCCAGCCTTCACTCAAGTTACCATGCATTTTAAACAGACTTTAAATTTTTGGTAGTCCAATTTTGTATTTAATGATAGTGAAATTCTTTTCAAATTCATACCACTGGGCTGACCAATTTTACAATATCAACAATTTATGGGTTTTCATTACCTGCAGGAATACCCTTAACTTTGACAACAATTAACTTAAAGCAAAGTTAGTTGAATAACTTCTCCACTGAATGTTGTCACAAATTGGAGAAAAAATCTAATCTTTTTTGCATTATCATATGTTGCACAGTTTATAATTATACATGTTATCATAAGATGCCATGTAATTAGCCAATTATGTCCTTTTAATTTTGCTCATCTAAACTACTTAACCCTTGAAATTTTATACAGTAATTCACACAAAAATTAAACAAAAATAAACGTTTGGGAGGAACATTCTCTGTGAGATGGCAGTAAACACCATGCCCCACCCACCCCCTCCTCCCCCTACACCCACACCAGTGCCTATCCAGAATCTTGAAATGGCATTAAGGAATGATAATCTAATATCTATGTTTTTCAGACTTAATAATTTTCAATACCTTTTGTTGGCAACTACGTCCAAAAAGACAGCAGGAAATTAAATATGCCCTGTAAATGATCATATTTCTACATTATGAAATATACTACTTCATCTTTAGAAATTATTAACTTAGCTCTGACACTAAGCCTCCAATAATAGTAACATTAAATGTTGCTTAAGTATTATAGTATATTGCATAATATTATTGGGAATACCAATAGATTATCCATGGTTGACCACAAAACTACAGTAACTTTTAACAGTTTTGCAGTCAACCCTCAATAATTTATTGTTAATATCAATATTGGCATTGTCTGATATTGCAATGTCACATAGAGCGTAATGAACAAGTAATTTTGATTTTTGAAGAAAATTTCCACTTTCTTTGAAAAACCAAAACAAACAAAAATTGAACATTTCTGAGCAAAAGTGAAATACAATGTATATGCTAATCATGCACTGTTGTATTCAAGAAAAGCACATAAAAAATTACCGTAATGTTTCCATTTAACACCCCCCTGCCTCCCCCTCTAATTAGAGCCCCAACTTTGCCACCACCACATTTTGCAGAAAAAAATCTTACCTTATAGATTTATAATATAATCCATTAATGAAAGAGCAACCAAAAAAAATCCAAATATTTTTTTTTAAAACATCACAATTAATGACACTCCAGTAATGTTAAATCATTAAAAAAATAATTCTGTATAACATGTATATATTAAATCATAATAATGAATAATGATTTTATAATTGAATAATTGAATCTTTAATAAACATATTTATAGTTCTAATTAGTGCCCCCCCCCCCCCTACTTGAAAAAATGCTAGCCCCCAGGGGCATGACTAGGAGACAATACGGTATATGCAAATCACACATTTCAAGGAAAGCACAAACATTTCTGAGTAAAAGGGAAAAATATGCTAATCAGGGACTGTTGTATAAACACTGATAAAATGACCGACTTTACATTTAATGAGAAACTCATCATAATAACAGATGTCACTCTGATTATTGACTTATCCCTTAATCCTTTGAACTAATTGGCATCCGAATAATTGCATGTCTAATTATTGTAGCATAATTACAGCACTGTAGTCTCTTTACATTTTATGGGTTTGTATAAGGCTCAGAGTCCCTGCTTGAAGAATACATGTATATAGAATTTATTCACATTTATTCACATAATATATAGATGTTTTCAAATTATCACAATGATTTCCACATAAATACCAATGATGGAATTAAACCAATTTTTAACCGTTAAACCAATTTTTAATCGTTAAACTAATTTTTAATTGTTAAACCAATTTTTAACCGTCAAACCAATTTTTAACATTAAACCAATTTTTAACCATTAAACCAATTTTTAAACGTTTTTTTAACCGTTTAACCAATTTTTAACCCTTTAACCAATTTTTAACCCTTTAACCTGTAGGAACTGAAGATGATTAATTACCCTTTGCCACCAGTATACAGCCAGGCCAGTCTGAACATCCTTAATTGCACGCAGCTGTCCGGTTAGCTCAATAGGAAGAGCACTGGACTGTGAATAATGCGACCCAGGTTCAATTCCTGGACGGCGCAGGTTACTTTCGTTGTGATTGATCATGAAATCCTTTATACGGTCACACTGTACCCCTGCTCTGGCATGTACAGAAGTTTCATTTTCTTGTGACAGTGAAGGCAACTAGTACTGGTAAACTGCTTGACAGCCTGCACAGAGGAATGATGCAGTGGTTGAACTGTGCTCTGGTGAATTCAATGTGGCTTACTGCCGTGATCCTTAATGAAAACTATCAACACCACCACCACATCCTTGCAGTCTGGCCAGGCTCTATACTGTTGGCTGAATAACTTTTAAAACTTCTCCCTTTTCACATTCTGTAAACTTACTAAATAATAAATCATATATCAAATTTAAATTTGTTTCATTTTTACCTTTCTCATTTAAAAAAAAATGCAACTATTCAATGATGAAAGACCCATGGAGTATTTACATTTTACAATTACCACTATTAAGTAGCCAAGATTTGAGTGTCAAATTCAATTCTTGCAATTAATTTCTAGGACAAAAATCTCTTCAGTAATCAATGAGATTGTTAAAAGCAAATGAAATGGTATTCATCCTCAATATCTTGAGTGTGTTTGTATTGACAAAAAAACAAATAACTCACCAGTGCTGTAACTCTCCTTTGTTGACTGAAAAAGAAACAGAAAAAAATTACATATAGCATCTGGTATTGTCATACTGTGGCATATCTATAAGCAAATGTATATGACATTGTTAATTTGTTCTTGTACACTGACTTTAATAACAGCAAAGGATCTAGAAATGAGATTCTCATTTTTATAGTAACCATATTTTCTAGCCTGTACTTGAATTTTAAATAATTATAATTTAAGAGGATTTGAAAAATTTCTAACTAATCAATTATTGGTTAATTTTAGATTATCCATTTAATCAATGCAAGTTTCCCGCGTGGTCTTTATTTACATTATACAGGGGGTGGCCTGTAAAAATCATAATGATAAATGGTATTGTCCTGATTAGTTTTAACATATTTATTTCCTACATATAAATATATACATTTATAATACAAATAAAATATTTTTATATTAGAACAGAAGACGAAATAAAATTCATCTGCAGTTGTGATTGAAAGATGGAGAAGCCCATTTTAGATATTTAGCATGGATAGGGACAAAAAAAAAACATGAATTTGAAAGTCAGTCATTTTTCAAATGTTTCGAATATGCAAATTTAGCCCTTAGCTGGATGTTTGGCTAAAGAATCTATCCATGCCACCAGTGCACACCAAGATAAGCCGGCACACTGGTGCTGTGTGAGCATGGTCTGCACTGTTTGCTATTCAGTCAGTAAATGAGCCGACTGTCACGACAAAACCAACATAGTGGGTTTGCGACCAGCATGGATCCAGAGCAGCCTGCGCCTCCGCGCAGTCTGATCAGGATCCATGCTGTTCGCTTACCAACTCCATTACAAGTGGAGAAACTGACAGCGAACAGCATGGATCCTGATCAGACTGCGCAGGCTGGTCTGGATCCATGCTCGTCGCAAACCCACTATGTTGGTTTTGTCGTGACGCGGCTCAAATGTTTTTGAAATTTTCCCCTAAAATGATGAATGGTCTTGTCCACATTAAAGGATGGACAAGTCCATTTAAGATATTTAGTGGTGGTAAAGATTAGGAAGCTGTAACATAATAAGAGATTTATTTACCTGACACATACATTGTAAAATGTCAGCTGAGTTATTACTTTAAACCTCGGTTCCCCAGGTAACCAGATACTGGGTTTCCACTGTGACATCACCAATGGTGTCAAATGCAAAAAAAACATTAATTCTTCCTCATAGAATTTTCCATTGACAAAATTTATAGGTGCTTTTGTAAAAAAAAACCACAAGTCTAGTGTAAAAAGTAAAGCTACAACTCCGTTTTACTACTTTGTTAATCATTTTAATATTAACATACAAAACAACTAGTTAAATTTATGACTTATGGTATTAAGCTTGAATAATTAAAAACTATTGGCAATGCAATGAAATGCACAATAATTAGTGAAGAACCCATAATAATTCAAGGCACAAGAAAAAATAAAAGGCACATGTTATAATAAAAGGCACAAGAATCATTATCAGACAAAAGAAAATAATTAAATGCACAAGAAACAATAAAAGGCACATGTTATAATAAAAGGCACAAGAATCATTATCAGACAAAAGAAAATAATTAAATGCACAAGAAACAATAAAAGGCACATGTTATAATAAAAGGCACAAGAATCATTATCAGACAAAAGAAAATAATTAAATGCACAAGAAACAAAAAAAGACACATGTTATAATAAAAGGCAAAAGAATCACTATCAGACAAAAGAAATAATAAAAGGCACTAGAATCATTATCAGACAAAAGAAATAATAAAAGGCACTAGAATTATTATCAGACAAAAGAAATAATAAAAGGCACAAGAATCATAATCGGACAACAGAAATAATATAAGGCACAAGAAATGAAAATGACACTCACAGTAGGTACATCCCATTAGATCCTTGACTTCGGTTGAGCTTAGTTTACTGGCACGTTTCCCCATGTTATCCTACCATCTTTACTAATAATCATACCAGCGACCCTTCATTATCCGCGGAAAAAAACTGATTGAAACAGAATCACTAGCAGCTCGTATACTGATATGTTGTTGGTACTGTCCTGTCCTAGCATTTAATGCAGTGACTATTGATTCCTTGTGTAGCAGGTACCTTTAACGTTGTTGTTGTTTTATTTGTCATCAATTCATTGTTGAACCTTTCTGCTTAGGTATTGCCTAATGGATAGAATTTTTCAAGGAAAATGAGACCATTATTTTAATTGTGCTACAAACGATTTTTATTCTCATCAAAGACATTCATAGCTATGTTGAGATGTGATACTACTTGTATCAATAACATAAGCTGTCTTTTTTTTCCCCCAATATGCTATACGGTTAAATCTGAAAAATATCCAATATCGTATCTATGTATTCTATTTTCCAAGCATTTGTCTCCAATAATAGTAGAAATGAATTTTTGAGAGAGAGATCTTTCATTGACTATTTTATATCTATAAATTTGTGTGGATTGAAGAAATATTCTATTACGATTTATTTATTACTTTTATAACATTTTTTTTTTTTTTTTTTTTTTTTTTTTTTTTTTTTTTTTTTTTCACTTTTTTAACTATAGATTTGCATATCAAGGCATGATAAATACAAAATCAAAGTACTTAAAATATACTGATAGAAGGTTATTATGTATTTTGCCTTCCAAAACCTTGTTATCTTTGTTGTTCTTTATTGTGCAATCAACAGTAGTCATAATAAATATCTTGACTTAAAATGACTTCTCTACAAAACTTAATTTCTAAAGAAAACTTTAAAATATGTACTGAGTGTATTACAGTATTAGTGAACAGATGTCACATTTTAGAACTGTTCGCTAATTAGGGAATGTTTTCAAATAAAAAACATAAAGTTTATCATTTTATACATGTATTTCTTAATGTACTTTTACATATTTTGTTTTATAACATACAAAATATTTAAAAGTCATTCTTTTTCCAAAAATAGAATTATTTAAGAACATTGCCAGACTGCCAGCATTGTTTAATATTTTAACAGAGCATTCCCATAGCTACATAACTGGATTATTTTATTTTGTATCAATAAATAGAAAATCTTGTCAAGAGCTGTTTTATTAATCACGAATCTGTGACTGTTTATCAATACCTTTGATTAAATAACACATTGACAGGTAGAAAATAATGGCACCAAGACTTATACATGTACATGTATATAACAATACTTGTCCATGGACAGCATGCTATATTTTCCTCAGTGCTGAAAAGTTAAATAAAAGAAACAGCAAAAAGGGGGCATAATTCTTCAAAAGTGCTAAGGCGCTTAAGCAGACTTACATGTCCTTTATAGTCAACAAGTATTTTAAGTTTGAAGTGAATACCTTTAAAAAAATGAGAAAAAGGCAAATTTTCTGAGATCAAAAAAGGAATCAAGTAAAAACAGCTATATAGGGATTATTATTTTTCCCCCTTAGAAGTTAGCAATGCGTTTTTAATTAGACAGTGAACATGAGCTCCATTTTTTAGTGAATATCTTTGATACTTTTTATGAGAAATTAACCTAACAAAAGATTAACAAAGAAAGTGAAAGACAAAAAAGGGGTCATCACTGAGCAAAAAATTAATTATAAGTAAAATAAGTTACAGTTTGTATTTATTGGGAAGTGCGTAAATTATGAACAGAAGTAGATCTACATAAAGATTAAAGATATATCCAACTTTAGGTTAAGTCAGTTTAGGTTAACCTCGTACGGACAGAGACGGCCGGTTTAACCTATGGCATTAAAAATCCCAAAAGGGGAGACAATAACGGTTTTGTTTTACATTTATTTTTCTTACCTGACACTGAATGGAACAAATAATATTACTAACCAAAATATCTTTCAATTAGTGAAATATCATACGGCTACATCTTTTACATCTGCAAGAAATCTTCTGCAACATTTTCTTATTTTTTCTCACATGCAAATGGTGTGTCATAAACAAAGGCAGGTAAGCAAGAGTATCCAAACCTCTTAGTGGCCTGACGAACAAACTCCTCGCAGTGGTTACTTCCCTTTATCAGTACATGTAGGCTAGGAGCCAGACTAGCAGACGAATTGCAGACGCTGGAAAATTCTGAAATATGTGTAATCAGTGGACTACAGAATACTGAGATTATCTTTTTTTATAGACTTGGTAGATCCAGCTCTAGATGTATTTATTTTTCTAAATAACAATTTAAACATTCTTTGAAATTAGTTGTTTACCTATATAGGCCTCATGTGGCACATGTATGAGTTATTGTTAATGACCTCATTTAGCCAAGGATTAAAAACTGGATTATTCACAATTATGTGATCATTTAGGTATCCTCACATTTAAGTATCCTCACATTTAGGTATCCTCACATTTACGCAAATTTCGAATCTTCAAACGTCGCAAGAACTCGGGATCATTTACTCTAATGCCTACTCTTTGACCGTTAGATCTTCTTTATATAGACTTTTCTCTTAAAGACACTATAACTTGTGTACAAAATTTCAGATCATTCTCTCACTCCGTTTTTCCTCGTGCAAAAGAAACCAACATTTTAAACGTCGCAACGCTTTTCACTCAACGCCGACCATACATAATATTTTTCGATTTATTTCCGAGTTCAGTTCTTAATTATCTTTTACAATTCTTTCCCTTTTTAAGTACCCAAGCTGATATATGTAAGAAAATCAATTTTATTAAATTAAGCTATATTTGACCTAGGTGAAGTTCCTTTAACTATTGAATATTGAGCATCATGTTCTATAGTTCGTTTTGTTTAAAGTGATGCCTTCAAATCACAAATGTTCATGTGTACAGCAACTCAAAAATGTCAGATGTTTATAGTACATTGTAATATATCTACCACAAAATATACGTGTATATGATGATGATTGTTCACCTTAAGTAGCAGTTCAGTCAATGAGCACGAGAATTCTGTCAGATCAAAATCGATTCTGATAATGGGAACTGTTTTAGACAAGTATAGAAAGTGTTTCTATTGTTTAAGACAACTGTCAACAAAACAATGTTATGTTTCAGACAACCGTCAACAATAAAACTGTTTTAACAAGTTTTGTTATGCTAAAATCAAGATAGATATTGATTAATTTAAAGATTGTTCAACCTATATACTGCAGTAAATATATATAAATATATATATCTGTCAACGTGAAAAATGATAATACAGTATAATAAATAATGGGAAAAGTTTACAGAACAGAACAAACATGTCTCTTTCATATCAATATAGAGGATGAATTATTAATATATTAAGTTGTATCTACTATGTCTAAATTATTTCTATGAGACATCGCATCTCGTACATACAAGGATAAATTTAAAAGTATACTTCTATTGTTTGATTTTAACATATCAGTGAATTTAAGCATACTAGGTCTTATATAATAGTATCTTTTTATATATTTTTTCTTATATCAATATAACAAGGACAAATTAAAATGAAATGGTATTCATCTTCGACGTCATGTAGATTACAATATAAACAATATCTTTCATTTCTAACACTTATATATCTATGAAACCTACCAGTTTGCACATGTTATTAATGCGAAGATATTCTAATTCATGAAAGATACTTCCTTAAAGTACTTGGTATTATATCAAGATAATTTTTTTACATTTTTTTTTACAATGTGCTATAAACATTTAAATAAATGAGGAATAAAAATTGAAATTACAAGTTATCGTTGGAGGGTATTTTTACGTTTTGTTTAACTCTTGGTATACATGTCATATTTTAAATACTTTAAAATTGAATAAATAGAATCCAGTCAAGAACATAGGCACTAGGATTCAAAGCTCAAAATCCGTGAATAAAATACCATTATTAACTAAAAAGAAATTAAAAAATCAAAATCATAGTAAGTTGTGGAACCGAGTGCCTATGGTTAAGAAGTATACATTTAAGATTTTAAATTTCTCTCCAGATAATTGTAAAGCGAATATTTGAGGGCTGATTTTATTTTATATTATTTTGAGTAAACTATTACATTTAATAATTACGAATTTATTTTTTTTACAAAATTTGTAAATCTAAAGGATCTTTTGTCATTACAGTTTAACATTATACGTTTATTTTTGTCGTATTATAATTTGATTAAAATCAATATTTAATATATAAAATGATATTCGTCTTCAACATCTAGAGCAAAATGTTCAGCATAAACTTCTATATTGTAACTCATATATTGTGGTTTATTTGAGCCGTGTCACGACAAAACCAACATAATGGGTTTGCGACCAGCATGGATCCAGACCAGCCTGCGCATACGCGCAGTCTGATCAGGATCCATGCTGTTCACTATCAGTTTCTCTACTTGCTATAGGGTTTGTAAGCGAACAGCATGGATCCTGATCAGACTGCGCGGATGCGCAGGCTGGTCTGGATCCATGCTGCTCGCAAACCCATTATGTTGGTTTTGTCGTGATGCAGCTCATTTTATGCTAAAAAATAAAATAAGTTAAGCTTTTGTTAACCCGGGGATCACAAGAAATTTGATCCATAGTTACAAAACTTGCTATCTGACACCAGTATTTCACAGCTTCTGGCTTCATGAGGAGGTTAGCTTTGATCAGATATCTATATATTCTATATAATTATATATGTTATATACGTACAGATGGTATTGAATGGTTGTAGATTTAATACTAAATTTAGCACTGAATCTATACGAATATAATATTCTAATTACCACATATTCAAAATTAGTACAGTTTACAGTTAAATAGTCATGTTTCGTTGACGAGCCTTAACTGTAGTGCAAGTCTAAAATATGCCTCAGAAATGAATAAGAAAGAGAAGGTTAAGATGCGCATGCGCAAAATGCAACATCCGTTACTATGGAAAAATCGTATTTTAAAAAAGGTCTATATAATTAGTGAGTACCTTTTCGAAAATTGTAACATGCCACCAAGAATTAAATGTTTTTTTTGAGAAATAAAAATACATGTATATCATTTGAGGTTTTTGAATATGTAAGAATAGTAATCACATTACATATATAATACATTGTTAAATATATGAAGTGACAAATTCCAAACGATCTCTGATATGAACAGTCTGCTAAACATCGCTAATTTTAAGTCCATTTCTTCTATGACAGAAATACAAATCTAAGACGGTTTTCAAAACAAATTTGGAATATCAAAACCACATTTGGTTGTAAGTATATAATATATACTGTATTGATCAGACGCCCAGCGTGACATGATTGGTTGTAAGTATGTCATCATGTATTGATCGTGACATAATTGACCGTCAACATAAACTGTATTGTCAAGAAGCAGAGCGTGACATGATTAGTTGCATACATATCATCATGAATTGGACAGAAGCCTAGCGTGACATGAGTGGGTGTAATAATCTTATCATGTATTGATAGAAAGCCGAGAGTGACATGATTGGTTGTAATTATATATATCATCCTGTATAAACCAAAACCCTAGCGTGACATGATTGGTCGTAAGTATACCGTCCAGAAGCTCGGTGTGACATGATTGGTTGTAATAATCTTATCATAATCCGAGCGTGGCATGACTGACTTTGAGCAAAACTTTATGTCTTTATTTTTTTAGAATATCTTTAACTCCGATGTAAAATGTATCTTTTAGATCTACTCTAATACGCGTATGTAAGATTTGAAAAAATAAAAAAATATATATGTTCTTTGTATATATCAGTAAGCTCGTAATGTTCAGTGGCGTATCTAAGTCTAAATTTATATGTAAGGACCGACAACAAGGTCACCATTCCCCAAGAATTTTGTCTTGATTTTCAGAGGTGCGTTTTGGCGTATATAAAGAACAGTTATAATTTCAACTGCAGGAAGACGAATAAATTATTTCAAATTCGCCACATTTATTTAAAAAAAAATGTTGGCTGCGCCTAATTGGTCTAGAGGGACCTACCCCACTGCTTATATACATGTATATATAATAATATCCTAAATCGTTTGCAAAGATTGTGCTATACTGGAGCGCTCGTGCAATTTACTTTCCTGATATAACACGAAACTTATAACACAGCTCCGTGATGTGATTATCTCTCGGCAGCAGTTTGCGAGTAGCAGACGATAATGACTCCAACCCACATGTACAGGTTTTTATAAACGGATGCCAATGCCATTACTCAGGATATTGTACTAAGGCATTTCTGCAATCAATTTCGGATGACATCTTGTCTTATCGTTGATGACAAGGAATTGAGACGCTATCAGATCAGATCGATTCTGTAGATCTGTCAAGACGATTATAGTCATCATACAGTCAATCAAAGTGACGTCACAATGCGCACATATTACCTATCTAGCAACAATGCAATAAAAAAGGATGCTGTCCATCTTCATTCTATATATAATTATTGATTATTTCAATATTCACAATAAGGTATAGTCATTTAAAACTGGACTCTTTTTAGCACCCAAATATTTTTAAAGAGGTTTTTCAGGCAAAGGAAAATCTTGTTTGAAACAAAGGAAAATCATGTTTGAAACAAGAATAAAACTGAATTATGAAAACTTCAGCTTGGAACTGAAGTGTGGTGTATGAAAGAGAACCCAATTTCAAATTATTTTAAGAAGTAAGTGTTACCGACAATAAATAAGTTTTTTAATATTTATTTCATAGGTCTGTCTAAACTCACTTGTTGTTTTGTCCAATAATGAATCATTTTCATAATAAATGGCAAAATATAACAAAAAAAAGTATAAAACTTTCGTTTATTAACTATTTCTTCTTTCCGCATTAAAAAATACGTCAAAGTTACATGGCATGGGCACTCTCTTTAAAATGGGAGATCAAAGTCAGAGGTTAATCTTAATAAAGGGTTGCAGTCTTTTCTTACCGCCACTCAATATTAGTGATAGTGAAGGAAAACAGCGTTACCATCAAAGAACGACAGCTCTGTGTTTAATGAACAATTATTATAGCTATGGAAGTATGGAATCGTTAAGAACGATAACTTTATATGAGTAAGAAATAGTCAAGAATGTCATTTTCAAAGAACGGCATCTAGGATTTCCACGTTTAATGAGCATACTTGTACATTTCCCTTTATAGATTATATTCATGTCATGTTACACAAACATCATAATGGACAAACGTCATTAGTGAGCTGTAGAAGTGGCGAAACGTACGTCATTGACAAATATGCAGCAGTCTCATCGCTATTTTGCATACCGCGGTATAATGGTAATTAATATGGTAATTTTGTAATGATTTCTTTCCATGAGAGATTTTCCTGACATTGCGATGTATAATGACATGAATATGTATATGACAATGTGATGGACCCTTATTAAGTGTAGAATAAATGAGACTAAATGCATGACAATGCTCTTGGAATGTGGAACATACATGTATTATTAATTGTTTTTGTCATACGTTTATGAATGAAATACAATGAAAGTAAAAATACAAGTTCATTATTAAATATCAATCAACAAAAGTTATTAGTAAGGATATATAAGCTTCTCAACTGGTCCAGGTATCCCTTTCAACCGCACTCCTAACCAAAAACTCCCTTACTAGCCCATAAATTAGGATTCCCTTGTGTTTAGTACAGTTAGCATTTTATGGTATGGTAGTGATACATAATCAAAGCACAGAAGGCGCTGAATTTGTTTGGGTCTTAGAATGTCAGAAAGGTGAAGGTTGTGAGATTATAAACCAATTTGTTTTTGTATAGTGCCACCAATGCTTTTCAGTGTTTTAACTGTAGTAAATTGGTTAGAAGACTAATTGCAACACTGAAATTCAATTCAATGTTTATTTGACTTAAACATTTAAAAAAAAATGAACAGCCTCATCTGGGATTTGAACTCCTGACGTCTCAATTCCTAAGCGAGTGTGCAAACCTCTCGGTCACGGTGAAGTTATATGATAACGACCTGAAGAAAACCATATTATTCTAAATTCGGGTTTGTAACTCTTATTATTTCCACGCTTAACCTGTTGTTTAAAACAGATGTAAATAATCATGGAGCTTACTATAAGCATGCATATCTATAAAGAATAAAACAATATTAGAAGTCTTCGACCATTCGCGAACTATTTTGCTTAAAAATTAATGCGCCTGCCATTCGACAAACGCAGTGATCTCCCCTGAATTTTTCGGCGTTAGTGTGCATATAAAGGGAAGTAACCGCTTCAAAAAAAGTGGACTACTTTCGGCATTTGCAATTAACAGCATCAGGGTCTGAATTTCGCTACCTTTATTTGTTTGGTTTGACCTGGGACATACATATCGTATGTCCCAGGTTTGACGACCCAAACAAATAAAAATTATTGGTAAGATTTAAAAAAAAATGGAACTTATTGCAAGGGTAGCGTAGCGGGTCTCTTGTGCGTATTCTCAATCCTAGATTGATTAATGCTGTTGAAAGCTGCAATATAAAGATTTTGTCCTGAACATATCTCCCACATATATAGAGGGATTCTAATGAATTTTCATACAAATGTTCACCACAATGAGGAATAGTGTCATGCGCATAAACTAGGTCTGAAGGTCAAAGGCCAATGTCACATTTAGAGGTTATTGAAAACACTTGTCTGGAGTAAAAACTTCACCATGCATTGGGAATTGCAATGTTACTTGGCACAAAATTTAATGTTAACCATTGTAAGGCAGAGTGTCGGGTACCAATTTTAGGTCCCTGCCGATTAGATCAAGGTCAAACATAGGGGTCAAAGTTCAGATTAAATATGAAAATGTGTATTCGGACCATTTAGCCATCATTTATTGAGAGATTAAAACAAAAATGATCATTATTATGACTACTGGTGTAAAACATGTGAATAAACTTAATACATGCAAGGTCAAGGTCACTACATAATTATGATAGTCAAGGTCAGTAAAGATGATAAAATATATAGATTTTGCCATGAGCATATATCCTTCACCTATGGAGGGATTTTAATGAGACCTCATACAAATATTAACCACTATAAGAAGCAATGTCATGCGCATGAACTAGGGATCTATGTTAAAGGTCAAGGTCACACTAAGAGGTCATTGAAAAACTATTGTCCGAAGCAAAACATCTACAGGTACATACATAGAGGGATTTCAATGTAACTTGGCACAAATTTTCACCCTCATGAGGTGGAATGTCGCGTGCAAAATTTAAATCCCGTGTAAATCCATGTGGCCATGGTCAAGGTCATACATAGGGGTCAAAGTTTAGATAAAAATATGAAAATTTGTATTCGGGCCATTTAGTAAATATTTATTGAGGGTTTGAAACACATTTTGTCATTATCATAACTACTGCTGTTCATTTAGGTTGATATATGCAAGGTCAAGGTCACTAAAGAGGATAAAATATAGAATTTTTGTCCAGATCATATCTCCTCAACGCATGGTGGGACTCTAATGAAACTTCATAGAAATTTTCACCACCATGAGATGTAGTGTCATGCGCATGAACCCCATCTCTAGGTTAAAGGTTTATGTCACACTTAGAGGGCACTTAACAATTCTTGTTCGGAGTCGGACTTCTGCATTCATGGAGGAATTTTAAAGTAATTTGGCACAAATGTTCACCATTGTGAGATTTATTGCGCAGTGGCACATAATCCAGGTCCCTGCTACCAAAGTCAAGGTCACATAGAGAGGTCAAAGTTTGGGTAAAAGGACCATTTAGTCATCATTTATTGATGATAACTATTATGACTAGAAGTGTGACACATGTAATTTATGATAATATTTGCAAGGTCAAGATCACTGGAGGTGATAAAATATTCAGATTTTTTTCCCAGAGATTGCCCAAAGCATATCTCCTATATGCATATCTATAATGCCCAAATATCTGTCAAAAGTGTTTGAGACGGGCGTATTTTGCGACCATGTTTTTTTGTTGTTTTTGTTTTGTGTTAAGTGTACTGGGAATGTTCGTTATCGTTGCCTTATTGGAACATCTGTGATAAAAACTTTACTGATATATACAAGGTGCGACACAAACTCAACTTCAGTGTTTTTTCTTATATAAATCAATGAAAAAATCTGCACATTTATATTTCAATACAGTTTTCAAATGTTCATTTAAATTGTACTGAGAATAATGGTTTTGAAAGAACAAAAAAAACAATGCAATAATAATTAATGATATCACCTGATTCCTTTTGTCCTTTATTTTAAGAGTAATTTACATATGCATTATATGAACTACACATATGTATCATATTATTTACATATGTATATCATATTATTTACCTATGTTTCATATTAGCTTTATTACATACATATGTATCAACATTATAAAATTGTACATTTATTTACACCTTAAGTTAAATCTTTAATTTCGTTGAAATTTAAACAAGGCTTATTGTCAAGTACCCACTCATGCATGTCGTTTATGACCTTACTGTACTCGTCCTGAAAGTTCATCCTGTAACAAACGTCACACAATGCCTGTTGATACACTTCTTTAAATCCAATTGAATTAAATTGGTCTTTTCTCTCTAAAAGCTTTGCGTAGTCAGAGACCGATAGACCTTTGAGATATTGTGCCAGATCTTTTGCCGACCGGAAGTCGTCTGTTGATATAAATGATCCACTCGGGAATAATCGTTTGGCATCACCGTGTAGACCGCCACGTGTAACCATAATTGTATCATAATTGAAATTTTCGAAAAACTTTTCCGAGAAATATTGATTGCAAAATGCATTCTCAAACGCTAAGTAGAATTTATATGAGTTTAGGATATTAAAGCAGTTTTCGTCATGAACGCGATGTGTCCCACAATCCCACGGTTTCCCGCCACATTTACCCAATATATCGATATCCATATATTTACTTAGTTCCTTAACAAACTCTTGTCTTCTCGATGACGTTTTACAATTAGATACAATTATAAGTGATGTCTTATTTTTACCACGAGCTATTGCTTCATAATCACGCAATTTGTCCCCGGCACGCTTCCGTAGTTCTCCGTAAGGAAGATGAATGTCAGTATTGTTCTTATTATACGTCATCGTCCAGTTGAAGGTGTAATTTGTCCACGAGTTGCCGCCCATGCCGTACAAATGCGGTGACTCGTGTGCAGCAAATATCCAAACTTGTCCGATTGGTCGAATAAATTCAAGTTTTTTAGGAATGAAAATACCGTCATATATAACAGCGTCACCTTTTCTGGCATATTTCTTATCAAAGGTCAATTCACAATTATTCCATGGGCATTTTTTAAAGTCACACGACATAGCATATTTTCTATATCTACTTATGAACGCAGGTACATTGTAATAAAGTATCAAATAGTTCTCTTTGCTCCTGTTAAGATGGTGCTGTGATGTCAAATTTTCAAACTGAAATAACAAAACAAATGCAAATGATCGTGAAATTCGACGTAATTTGACATTACTTGTAGTATATACATCTAGTTATTTTCGCTCATTTGCGGTTCACGCAAAAGAAAATTTACAACTTAATTTGCGGCTCTAAGCAGTCAATGTTGGAAAAAAAAAGAATTGTTACTTTTCAAACCTTTCGGATTAAAGCTGCATGACTCTAGATGAACAAACTTAAGATAAATGTACTAAGAATTTAAGGAAAGTTAAAAGAAAATCGTGATTCATGATTCAAGTAATAATTAACATGTTAAACATGTTATGTGCGGATAATGACTTATTTTGCACGTTTGATCACTACATCAATATTTCTACTGCGTGACTAACGCAGTAAGAGCATTTTGCATATTTTAACCTCTTTTTGGCAATGTACTTGAATCCTAAGTGTCGTTTGCAGTGTGTAAATTAATTTCTATTTTCACTTCACAACATCTAACTTATAAATTCATTTACAAATTTTCATGAAAATGAGCACGAATAGCATTCGCAACTCTTCGCCGCTGCAGTTTATGCAACTTTCTGCCAAATTTTCGATCATGACAAATTTTATAGAGAAGTAACCAATGTGAAACATGACAATAATGTGTAATATTTCCATTGAATGATTATGTATCACTTCAAGGCTCGGAACAAAGTTAAAGTTGATAATATTGTAACATGGCAGAGTGGTTCACGCACTGGACTAGTAATCATAATGATCGCTAGCCGCATGGGTTTCAACCCCGTCAGGGGCAAATCGTTGTTTCATTTAGCTCATTGCTCAGGACCCATTGGTTCTAGAAACGGATCCGAAAGCGTGTCTATAAGCTTATAGCTTCCTGCACAATCTCACTAAAATAAATTATGTATAAACCAATAATATTGTAATGAAATTATAGAAATGTTTTGTTGTTGTTTTTTGTGTGTGTTTAAATTTGACTTAAATCCATCAATAGATATGGTGTAGTGTAACTTCAGAAATCACTAGTACATTTTTTGTAAAGGGAAAGGAAAATACAAGTATGAGTTTTACCGTGACATCGTGTCTCATTGTCCAAAATCCCATTCCTCTATAGAACATTACAATGTATGTCATCACAGCCACTAGAAACGCTGCAAATAATAAATAAACAAATCTGTCCCACTGAACCATGTCCTGCCGACAGCAACTAATGTTACCAATGTGGCTACAGTAGTAGCAGTACTATCTTGTCGTCTGGCCATGGGTTACATTGTCCAGTATTCAATACATGTATTTTGAAATTTGACAAAAATATGATGAATGATTTGGTCAAAGTTGAAAGATGGACAAGTCCATTTAAGAAATCCAGCGGATTAAGGGCTACTTAATCAGAAACCGTGTACTAGTTAATCAGACACCGGTCAGACACCATGTACTAGTGAATCAGACGCCGTGTACTAGTGAATCGGACACCGTGTTCAAGTGAATCAGACACCATGTACTAGTGGATCAGACATCGTGTTTAATAGTGACTCAGACACCATGTACTTGTGACTCAGACACTGTGTACTAGTGAATCAGACACCATGTACTAGTGACTCAGACACCGTGTACTAGTGACTCAGACACCATGTACTAGTGACTCAGACACCATGTACTAGAGAACCAGACACCGTGTACTAGTGACACAGACACCATGTACTAGTGACTCAGACACCATGTACTCGTGACTCAGACACCGTGTACTAGTGACTCTCAGACAACGTGTACTAGTGACTCAGACACTGTGTACTAGTGACTCAGACACCATGTACTAGTGACTCAGACACCATGTAACTAGTGACTCAGACACCATATACTCGTGACTCAGACACCGTGTACTAGTGACTCAGACACCGTGTACTAGTGACTCAGACACCATATACTCGTGACTCAGACACCGTGTGCTCGTGACTCAGACACCGTGTGCTAGTGACTCAGACACCATATACTCGTGACTCAGACACCATATACTCGTGACTCAGACACCGTGTACTCGTGACTCAGACGCCATGTACTAGTGACTCAGACACCGTGTACTAGTGACTCAGACACCGTGTACTCGTGACTCAGACAATGTGTACTAGTGACTCAGACACCATATACTCGTGACTCAGACACCGTGTACTCGTGACTCAGACACCGTGTGCTAGTGACTCAGACACCATGTACTCGTGACTCAGACACCGTGTGTACTAGTGACTCAGACACCGTGTAATAGTGACTCAGACTGCATGTACTAGTGAACCAGACACCGTGTACTAGTTAATCAGACACCATGTACTAGTGACTCAGACACCATGTACTAGTGACTCAGACACTGTGTACTAGTTAATCAGACACCATGTACTAGTGACTCAGACACTGTATACTAGTTAATCAGACACCATGTACTAGTGACTCAGACACCATGTACTAGTGACTCAGACACCATGTACTAGTGACTCAGACACTGTGTACTAGTTAATCAGACACCAATGTACTTGTGACTCAGACACTGTATACTAGTTAATCAGACACCATGTACTAGTGACTCAGACACCATGCACTAGTGACTCAGACACTGTGTACTAGTTAATCAGACACCATGTACTAGTGACTCAGACACTGTATACTAGTTAATCAGACACCATGTACTAGTGACTCAGACACTGTATACTAGTTAATCAGACAGACACCAGACACTGTGTACTAGTGACTCAGACACCATGTACTAGTGACTCAGACACCATGTGTACTAGTGACTCAGACACTGTGTACTAGTTAATCAGACACCATGTACTAGTGACTCAGACACTGTATACTAGTTAATCAGACACCATGTACTAGTGACTCAGACACCATGTACTAGTGACTCAGACACCATGTACTAGTGACTCAGACACTGTGTACTAGTTAATCAGACACCATGTACTAGTGACTCAGACACCAATGTAGTACTAGTGTACTCAGACACCACCATGTACTAGTGACTCAGACACCATGTACTAGTGACTCAGACACTGTGTACTAGTTAATCAGACACCATGTACTAGTGACTCAGACACTGTATACTAGTTAATCAGACACCATGTACTAGTGACTCAGACACCATGTACTAGTGACTCAGACACTGTGTACTAGTTAATCAGACACCATGTACTAGTGACTCAGACACTGTGTACTAGTTAATCAGACACCATGTACTAGTGACTCAGACACTGTGTACTAGTTAATCAGACACCATATACTAGTGACTCAGACAACTGTGTACTAGTTAATCAGATACCATGTACTAGTGACTCAGACACTGTGTACTAGTTAATCAGACACCATGTACTAGTGACTCAGACACTGTGTACTAGTTAATCAGACACCATGTACTAGTGACTCAGACACTGTGTACTAGTTAATCAGACACCATGTACTAGTGACTCAGACACTGTGTACTAGTTAATCAGACACCATGTACTAGTGACTCAGACACCATGTACTAGTGACTCAGACACCATGTACTAGTGACTCAGACACTGTGTACTAGTTAATCAGACACCATATACTAGTGACTCAGACACTGTACTTAGTGACTCAGACACCATGTACTAGTGACTCAGACACCATGTACTAGTTAAATCAGACACCATGTACTAGTGACTCAGACACTGTGTACTAGTGACTCAGACACCATGTACTAGTGACTCAGACACTGTGTACTAGTTATCAGACACCATGTACTAGTGACTCAGACGCCGTGTACTAGTGAATCAGACACCATGTACTAGTGAATCAGACACCGGGTTCTAGTGAATCAGACACCTGTGTACTAGTGAGCTCAGACACCATGTAGTAGTGACTCAGACACCATGTACGAGTGAAACAGACACTGTGTACTAGTTAATCAGACACCATGTACCAGTGAACCAGACACCATGTACTAGTGAATCAGACACCGTGTGCTTGTGAATCAGACACCATGTACTAGTGACTCAGACACCATGTACTAGTGACTCAGACACCATGTACTAGTGACTCAGACACCGTGTACTAGTGACTCAGACACCATGTACTAGTGACTCAGACACCATGTACTAGTGACTCAGACACCATGTACTAGTGACTCAGACACCGTGTACTAGTGACTCAGACACCGTGTACTAGTGACTCAGACACCATGAACTAGTGACTCAGACACCATGTACTAGTGACTCAGACACCATGTACTAGTGACTCAGACACAGTGTACTAGTGACTCAGACTGCATGTACTAGTGACTCAGACACCGTGTACTAGTGACTCAGACACCATGTACTAGCGGCTTAATCAGACACCATGAACTAGTGAATCAGACACCGTGTGCTAGTGAATAAGACATAATGAAGTTGAAAATAAACTTGAAATGTTCATAATCATACCATGTAGGTACAAAATTGAAGACTTCCTAAAGAACAGATTGTTTCCCCAACCCCTTGTGACCTTCACCCCATTTATAGAAAAAGGTCATCGATAATGTATATCGCAAAAGGTAAAGGCATTTAATTAGCTTTACGCAAATCATTTAATCTATTTTTCTTTAAAAAAAGTGAAAAACACACACACATTACCTATTCTCCATAAAAAAGTACAGAACGTCAACATTTTCCCTACATACATAGGCAATGACACTCTGATATTGAATCTTGATCGCTAGCTCGCACGCTTAATTAAACAAGGAAATATCTTGTCCATGTTGTAATGCTTTGTCAAAGTAAGTTAAGCACAATGTTCCCACATATTTTCAGCAAATCTTTTGAATAAAGAAGCAGTGTAATAGGAGATTTCTATGTCTTCTAGCTTGAAAAACGGCTCTTGTAACAAACTTGACATTCGTTTGAACTAGTATATATTTGATGCAAAATAGAGAAGTAGTTTGAATTGCTTTATTTTTAAAAATATTTTTTATATCTCAAACAAGGCTGATGTTCTTGAAAATAGACGTTAAAGAACGTGTTTTAATTGCGTGATCTCCAGATATCATTGTTGAATCCATGTTTCTTTCAAAAGTCCCTTTACGATTTAACTCATTTCTTTCTGTACATAATATCGTAATTTGCATTAATCCATGAAATTATGCACACGAGTATTCAAGTTTTGTTTAATTTGGTTTTGCATCTCCTCCCATACAAAATAAATTTAAAAATCATATAATTATCGAATATGAATATAACTCAGTTTTATTAATGCATAGTAACACTCATGAATGGAAATCAATATATAAGGGTTGTACAGTAAGTTCTAGGGATTTCTATACATAGTTGTCGTTTCTAACTAGGAAAAGGCGTCCAGTTGATTGGGTTTATATATATGATATACAATAACAACTCATTTCTCTACAGAGTTGTCATTCCTTACCACGCTTCTATGCAGAGTTATTGTTCATTACCATACAGTAACAACCTGAGTTGTATTTCCTTACTACGCAATATCAACCAACGTTCCAATCGCAACTTTTCGGCCCTTTCCGTCAGTAGATAATAGCCGAGGACGTTCCGACTGCGAACGTATACAGAGTTGTCGTTCATTACCATGCAGTAACAACCCACGTTCCAATCTCCTACGCAGTGATCTCCCCTAATCATTACAATTCCACCAAGGGAAATCACTGTTAGGAGTTTAACCACGTTCTATACAAAGTTGTCTTTCCTTACCACGCAATATCAACGAACGGTCTGTACAGAGTTGTCGTTCATTACCATACAGTAACAACCCACGTTCTATACAGAAGAATGCAGTTTTAACAGACGTTTTTTTACAGAGTTGTCTTTCTTTACCATCCAGTAATACAGGGTTGTCGTCCCCTACCAAAACAATGACAATTTATATGAGTGTTCTGTGCAGAGTTGTTGTTTCACACAAAAACAGCAATCAGCATGTTCTTTCTGAATTGTTCCGAATGACAAAAAAGTAACAACACAGGCGCAGATTTGAGGTCCTTTACCGAACAGTAACAAAGTCATTGAGGGAGTTTTACAGAAGGTAATTGAACAAAGATTGCTACTTGTTTAGTAAACGCCAGATACTAAGTAGACTACTCGTATGCCTGATTGCAGCAGGATATTTGAGATTTCTTACATTTAGATAACGCAATTGATTCACTGAACAAACGGCAAATTGTCTGCAGCCCAATTAAATTGGTAAAAAGGCTGTCGGATGCTATCGACTGAAAACCGACGATTTTTATTTCTGAGAAATCGTAGTCATATATCTCAATAATATCAGCGGGAAAATAATACCCAAATCTTTTGTTTCTTTGTCGTTCGAACTGAAGAATTCAAATATGCCGGATTTTGCCGAAGTGATCAAATGTATGCCGGATTTTGCCGAAGTGTTCTATTGTATGCCGGATTTTGTTGAAGTGTTCAAATGTATGCCCGATTTTGCCGAAGTGGTCAAATAGATGCCGGACTTTGACGAAGTGATTAAATGTATGCCGGAATTTGTCGAAGGGATAAATTGTATGCCGGATTTTCCCGAGTTGATGATAGGCGCACATATATTACTTTAAGACTTTAAAGTTTGTGAAAATCCACTAAGTAGCTACCGGTTTGTGTTAATGTAAATAGACAAACGTCTGAAATGTTTATTAAAATGTCTCCAAAACGTTAATGACCGACCCTTGTTAGAATGAATAACTTCATTAAATATATGACAATATGTTAGAATATTATATTTAACATGAACTTATCGATTGAAACAAGGTTTATCATTGATACATTATATTAATGTAGTTATATACATAAAAAGTTTTATTATTATATACATGTAACATATGTCCAGCTGTTGTACAACGTTATAAAATCTCAACTCACAGAAACAAATTAATAAATAACTATCTATTGCACAAAGTTTATCAATCATCAAGCAAATCAAAATTTCTCAATCACATAAAAGATTATCAAGCAAATCAAAGTTTCTTAATCAAATCAAGTTTATCAAGCAAATCAAAATTTATAAATTAAATCAAAGTTTATCAATCAAATCAAAGTTTCTCAATCATATAAAAGATTATTAAACAAATCAAAGATTCTTAATCATATAAAAGATTATCAAGCAAATCAAAGTTTCTTAATCAAATCAAGTGTATCAAGCAAATCAAAATTTATCAATTAAATCAAAGTTTATCAATCAAATCAAAGTTTCTCAATCATATAAAAGATTATCAAACAAATCAAAGATTCTTAATCAAATCAAAGTTTATCAAGCAAATCAAAATTTCTTCATCAAATCAAAGTTTCTCAATCATATAAAATTTATCAAGCAAATCAAAGTTTGTCAATCATATAAAAGTTTATCCGGAAATTGATATATTTTGTGCAACAGACAAAACTTTAGAAAACATACGGTTAAACATAGCAAGAGTATCTGTTATTAAAGAAAAAAAAACAAAAACAAAAAAACAATACAAAAATACACGACTACCTTTGATTTTAGTTATTTTAAAGACAAAACAACTAATTTTTATTATCATAATTATTATAGTGATGATGATGATGACATTTGTTTCCACATTTTAAGAAGTCTCGCACTTTTTCTTCTTCAGAAACCTGCACGTTTGTTTGAACATTTATTTTGCACCTTTTCAAAACACGTAATCTGATTTATATGCTGAAAATTAGCTACATTGTATTGAAGCTCAATCAAGCCACCATCAAAATTGAAAAAAAATATATTTATTTTTAAGTTCTTCTTTGAATTTCATATGAAGTCGTTGTGAAAATAGACCGCAAATTCACTTTCATAATTTTGTGTTGTCTTTAGAATATAAATTCAACAAAATATTTTTATTACATTTTTCGTCTTTAAATTTTTGTAACCGAGCTGGCACTTCATTTAATTTGTAAAATAATAGTACTAAACCACAAACTAAATCCAGTGAAAATAAACAACCAATTAGGACACTTCCTTTTCTTTGGCTATGTTTTCAAGAATATTGTTAGCTATATTAGTTCGGTTCATTTTCAGACTTATTCAGCGTGAAATCGTATTTCCCCAACATATCTTCTCATTCGATAGCCGTATTTAGACCAAAGGCGGAATTATTGATGAACATCTCGCCTCAATCGGGACACCTCGACAATTATTCACAATCACTCGGTTCTTTTCGCCAAACTTCGGTCTTACCAACGCACTTGAAAAAGTATTTAGTAAATAATTGGGAGTTCTTGACTGGTTTATTCCAATACGTGTAGAGGTCTACCTTTATTAAGTAAATTTATAGATATAAAAGAAAACAGAAACACAGAACGTACATTTATATACTTATTATGTTGGTTGCAAAATTACATTTGATCTGTACATGCCAGAGCAGAGGTACCACGGATTTACATTACAATTTGTTATATAAATCCGTGGAGGTACCAAGTGAATGACAGAATATAGAAAGGATATAGAAAGGATTTTATGATAATTCCAATCATAACGGAAGACCCGTACCGTCCGGATATCGAACCTGATTTACAGTCCGACAAGGCTGGGCGGTTCATATAAATAATAAGTGTATCAGTGTATTTGAATTTATTTATACTCGCCACCGGTTGCCCATATGTAGTAGTCCTCCAGAAGAGTATTTTCGGAGGGTAGTGCAAAGAAAAAAATTACAGAAAGATGCCACATATCAAAAAGTTTCTCCTGGTTCTTAAGCGTACCAAGTGTTTAAGCACTCATACACGGGACCTCGTTTTAAAGTCTCATCCAAGAGACTGATTAGTAATTTTAAATGGCCTTTCGGAATCGAACCATAATGTCGATGTTGAAAGTCTCACGCTCTAACCGTTTTAGCTATATAATTATATGCAGGCTGGCTACATAAATTATATGTTGTAGTCTATACTTAATGAGTGTCCAGACAGTAAATGCAGTTTTCGCTGTCGAGTACGCACCCCCCCCCCCCCCCCCGATGTCAACAGTCATGCCCTTAAAAAGTTAAATTTCAAAGCTGAAGTGGTAATAATTTATCTCCGTGCAATTCCCCAGGAGTATCAGACACAAATGAATTTTGAGCCAAAAGTACGTCATTGTACGGCGGTCAATACAGTATTCTGAGACAATATGAAAAGAGCCTGTTATTGTCAAGCAAAGGGTCTGCCTTTCAAGCCGTCGTTCTGCGTTAGGGGATCACGCATCCTAGCACACGTATATGCCTACTCTGTAGGGCCACTCATGTCGGCTTTACTCAGGAAACCGGCAGCTGGTCCGTGGGTTCAAGTTCTGATCTTTGTTTATTTTCACCATCCCAAGTTCGTCAAATCGTCTGCCGATGTCATGTGCACGCTCAGAGGGAAGGAGAGGTGACGAAGAAGATAAATTAATGTAAACTTTATATACCGGCATTGCTTTATTTCACTCCTTATAATATAACCAATGCGCTTTCAGCATTTGGACCACGTGATGTCAAACAACAATCATTACTGGGTGGTCCAATCCAACCAATTCAGCAATAAAGTCATTACCAAGAGCCCAAAGCACCATCAGCCTCGTTTTCAATACTGACAGCTCCTCGTCCAATACAATCAATAGAATTCAGTATTGTACTCAACATTTTAAAATAACTTCATAGTATTACCGGAAAATACACCACGCAAAATACCTACTCGAAGAAAGTAAAAATAGCGGTATCAGGAAATGACGTAATTGACGTAATCGCAGCGCGTTACGGTTGAAAATGTAGTTTAATTTTAAAAGTATACGTAACTAAAATCTTCTTCTTACAAATGTAGTATTCTTGTTACAATATAATATAGCTTAGATGTAAATGAGCTCATCGCCATTTAACTTTCTCCCACAAGATATTTTTATGTGCTGAACCCTGGCTAATCTATCGGTCTGTATCAATATAATTATATAGATGCTTGTTTTACCAGGAGTAATTCTCAAAATAGTTTCCGTGAGAAAATCAATCAGCATTACTAGATGAAAATATCGTTTCAGTGCCTTTCAATTTTTTTACTATTTGAAAGACCCTGATGTAAGTGACACCTATATCTACACATCATTTCGCTTTTTCTCTGACGCAAGCCAGAATGATATGTTTGACATTTCAGATGATGACGTAAAAGAATATCGTCTGCAACACCTACATGCGCAATCTAATTATAAATGTGCTTTAGGTCGCAGAATACACGCAACTGAACAATCGCAACTTTTCGACCCTTTCCG